TCTCCTCCATCGTTTCTAACCACTGGCAGTCCGAGTCGCGCGGTCCCCATCTTGGAAGACGAACTGGTCCAACGGATGCTAAGCTCGAAATTTCCTTCTTCATGCTCCTTTTCCACGTCCTTGTTTGTTGACTGCGACACCTTTGCCAATTGTTTCCGGGATGTGCAACTAGCGCTCGGCGCAGAAGGCGATGGACTGGCATGCACAGTATGTGGCTTGGCCATCGCATGCGGTGTCGGAGGACAACGGTTTGGAGGCATGGGCCGTTTTCTTCAAACATTCTCTCTCGGAACTCCGCGTTATTCACGTGATGCTGCGACCACACGCGAGTAGTCCTACGCAGACAACGATTCTCAAAACTGTCAATCGCTTCATGTCCTCTGTGCGAATGGGCCAGGTCTCATCGCCGTACAAGAGTACTGCTCGGACAGAGGCGATTTACACCCTGTCCTTCAGCTTGAGACTGACAGCGCGACGACGCCATAAGTGTCTCAGTCTGATGACTGCGAGACCTCATCTCCAACACCGCCACCAGCTGTGATGCAGCGTCCTAGATAAGTGAATCAGTGAACTTGTTCCAGGTCGTCACAGGCAATGGTGTAGGTAGGTACACTTGTTGATATAGCTAGAAGCCGACTTCAATAACATTCGTGTTGTGAGTTTGTTGTCCCTTCCCTCCCTGTTAGCCACCTCCTCCAACCACGATCTCAATTATTAAGGATAATATGACTATTTTGTGGCACGATAGCCGGCTGTTAACTCTCCGGAGCGCCGTCCATCCGTTACTGGTAACTCAGCCGGCGTGAATCTGTTTCATGTTTTTTTTGTATTGCGACACAATAGCTGTGTTTTCCACCTGCAGCTAAAGTGTACAACGAATGTTGCGGGCAGGCAGGAATACCTGCCAATCCTAAGTAGCACTTTACTTTTGTTTGGGGTGAAATGCGACCATACTTAGACGCTTTCATCCCTATGAGGTTTAGAGCGCTCTTAACGGCTTGTGGGTGATCCCCAAACGAAGCGATATCATGAGCGCAATCCAAGTCCCTGCCTCTGTCACCTGGGAGAAGCTCAATACCGCAGTTTGGTGGGCCGTACAATGCTCGCTAGATGACATGTTTGACGGCAAAGTTGAAAATGAATGATGATGTTGTACAACCTTTCGCATGCCACTGAAAACGGAAAACGAAGTGGGAAGTTCTGGCATTACCCGACGTGTGACTACAGATCCTCTAAGATGGTTCCAAACGTGTCCGGCACACCTTTCCTTAGTAGACAGTATCACAACGCAGATCTATCTGAGTCAATTGCCGCTCGGATGTCCAAGAACACTGTTATTATTGACCATCTTTGGTATGACGGAGTTCAAGAAGTTGACGGAGTGTAAAGATTCGGTCCGTGCAACCTCGGCCTGGTAGGAAACCCGCTTGTTCCTCGCGGGAAACGCCCTCTCTAGTCGCTTAAAGTCTGTGGAGTAAAACAGACACAAAAATCCTGGACGCAAAGGTGATCAACGAAGTTCGATTTAATTGATGCAGTCCTCGCGAGAGCCCTTCTTGTGAATCGGGACGATGAGGTCACCTCTGAACCGACGATACAACAGGATGTACAACCGTGGTCTCCTGTATCCACCTTCGTACAATATACATTCTAAGTTGGGGATGATTCTGGCAGCCACATGCACCACTTCACGCGGGCTTGGACAATAGGCGGATGAGTGGTGCCCTAGTATTGGTTTTATGATGAAAGAGAAGAGATGTGTGGTAATCTTTTCGGACCGAGTGCAGCAGCTGCGTTTGTACGTCTAAAGCATCCGCAGCCCGTCTTCGTATGGCCTGTTCGTGTTGTCCACTAATTTAAAATCGCAGCGTGAAAATACGCAAAGTCGTTCGATGAAGATGCGTGATGCAACGGTCGGAGGGTCACGTTCATAAATAACCCTTTGATTGGGTTGATTTGTAGACGGACCTCTGTGATAACTTGGGATTTGACCAGTGTGCGTCGGCTTCCGGTAGACTGTTGTCTTCTGTGACTCGACAGCAAGTCTAATCACGCAAAGGTCCCACTACAGCGATTGATAATTGTTCCCAGCGATGAACAGGATGCCGGTAAAAATATTGTTGAGCAGCCTACGTTTCCTCCAATTTAGAGCGTTTGAGGATGACGAAAGTCTCATCTAAGTAACATGTCCAGAGTCCAGACTTTGTAACCGGGATTGGTGATGGCATTGGCGTGACTGACTACACGATTGGTCTTTGAACTCGGTCAGAACGATGAAAGCAAGCTTTTGGGCAAATAACAAACAGCAGAGTGGAAGCATTTTGGCTATGAACTTTCACCGAAATTAAATAGAATCTCTGAAAAGGTAGAGCTACCTACCGTCACATCGTACATCAAGGACGAATTCTATCCATAACCTTCATCACTCCCATTACCCGGAATACGAATATAGTGATTGGCGCTCACGCGATGAACTCCGTCATTGTCATCATCATCATCATCAATACATGTTAGCCGAGTGCGAGAAACGCCTCAGCTACTGTGCCGCAATACAAAAGGATAAGAGACTTGCATCAGAGATTACAAAAGCTAAAAAATAACCTAGTGCTAAAATCACCTTATGCATCGGATTGCGATCGATGTTGGAGGGGAAAATAAAGGGGAAGAGAGGGACAAAGAGACTCACAACACAAACGCCATTGAGGTCGGCTCTTCGCCAGATCAGCCAGTGTGTCCAACCAAACTTGTTCATCGTCCTTAGGTTCCCAACCACGCAATCGGAAAACACCAACCGACGCCAAGTTCGAAGTGAAGCATTTCATTCCTTTAGATCAAGTCATCGTTTGACCTCCCCTCTTCCATCCAGGCGCCGGGCGCGCACACTACGCGATACAAGAGTCGGTGCGCTAGTGTGCGCAACACGTGGCCAAGCCATCGGAGCCTAGTACGTGGTATAATGGTGCTAAGCGGTTTACGCGCTCTTCCTGCACCAACTACGCGAAGTCGAACACGCTCATTGCTCGCGCGATGTTCCCACCACACATGAGCTATGCTGCAATGGTAGAAAGTAAAGGTGAACTCCATCTTAGTGACCATTCTGATTTGGGACTCATCGTACTGATAATTGCGGTAGGATTGCCACTAGTCACTAAGAAAATAGTAAGCACCACAGTAAGCCATACCGACTCTTCAATGCAAAGCGAACACCAGTGGTCGAGCGCGGACTCAAGACACTGCGAATTCATCTACACAAAGGCAAATCCGAACCAGTGATCTTCGGATTACAAGATAGGTTTGTGTTAGGGGCCGGCAGTCATTGATGAAAGTGACTATCAACTCTTGACCTCTGACCGAAAATAAAAGCCTCGATGGCGTTGTTACATCAACTCTCTTGATGTTGCACTGATGGTGTTGCCTAGCCTCACGGTACGTAGCTCGGTGAACAACACGGCATCCTCAACGCTGAGCCTCAAGTAACCAGTTATCAGATCAACCTCGCCTAAGATGTCGGAAGCCCACCCACCGTCACTGTGCATTGTCATGTATTAGAAAATTCTTCCAATATGTTGCAACATTGTATGCGTGTTTCGGGGTTACATTACGAATGAGCACTAAGTGAGTAAGAAGCTAAACCCAGAATGGAACGTTAAAAGCCAGTGTTAAATAATACTTTTGATTCGAATTGGTATTTTGGTTTCCGGTTAACATACGTTCTCACGTCGGTGCAACCTGAATCTGCCCATCATAGGTGGGAAAATATCTACAAGGAAAATATAAATATGCGAGGAGAGGACCGGCCCATTTCTTCTTTGTTTGGACGAAAATCTCCGGCTGCTTCTTTCGATAGACGGGCTTCAGTCTAGTGTGCCCACCTTTAGAAAAGTGTTGATCAACAAGGCGGGTGTGAGTAAATTCATTGTTAGATCGTGACAGCGGATTCACCCATGAACCTGTTTGAGGTTAAATACTTTCCTTTCTAAAGCATGCTGCTTAATTCAAGCATGTTTTGACCCATAGAAGTGATCCACCTGCAACCATGACTAACCACAAATGAATTAGCAACTATTTACCATTTTAATGAGGGGCTGTCTGTCCTGAAGCTGCCAATAGCGTCCTATTGGAAAACCGTTGCTCTATTTAGTAGTCAGCACGAGTCTTGACCCTCCTGCTTTACTCGACTCCAGCTGAGCTTACTGCACGTAAATTATTATCTTCATTAATTGAGCTTTGGAAGACGAAGGCCGTGGTACTTTTCTTTGCGAGTGACCTCATCCATCTTACAATCGACGGCCCATTGCCGGAAGGACAAGACGTGTGCCTTGTAACCCGGACGTCACCGGTTTGAGCCTGCGTAGGGGACTGGGCCGCCTTCGCAGCATCCTTAGCGCATGCGTGACCGGTGGTGGTTGCGTGGCAATTAAGCGCCTCTACGGCGTGCTGCTGATGCCCTTTATACGGTTTATCTATCTGATACAAAGGGCTCTGAAGGCGCTTCGAAAGTGCTATTCATCATAACTCAGTGGCATCAGCGACCATACCTTGGCGCGTTGTTTCCACACTTCGCTGCCACGCGATCGTTAGCAGTCGCCTGTGTTCTGGGGATACTGCGAGGTGACCACCACCTATGTGGACTAGACCTAACCACCTGTAGAATACAAGCTTTTTGATCAATTTTGGAGATTTTACTGTATTTGTTTTTGTGGATCATTTTTATTATTGTTGGTGCTGTTAGTATAAGAACCCAGTACCTATCACTGCTTTGAGATGTCCTGATACGGATGTCGAGTTTTCCATTGTTTAGAAATTTTTGATTTTTATTTCAGTCTTCCGCTTTCAAGGCCGTTCATTTACTAAGGCCTTCTGGCTTGGGCCTACTTCGAGCGTCCAGGCTTTCTTCAAACGCAGGAGCTGATAACCTGATCATATCAGAACTTGTGGATTCTGGTATCCACGTACTTACCTTGAATGATGAGGCCAAGGCCAATTGCCTATCACTCCAGATGGTCGAAAGCCTCCATTCAGCTATTAAAAAAGTAAAAGCAGTGGGTGATGCCCGTGTGCTTGTTCTTCGTGGGGCCGGGCGATTTTTTTCCGCGGGACATTACTTGAAGGAGTTAGTACAAAGCGAAAACCCAGGATCAGTAGCCCAACTGTTCTCTGCCAGTTCTCAGGTTGGTTTGCATGCGTGTCGTTTTGCTGTTTACCATATCTCGCTGCCCGAAAGCTACTCTTTTTCCTGGTTATTTCTTTCATTGTCAAACTTTCCATCATGGAATTTGGACCTTCCAGCATGTCACTTGTTTTCACCTAGTGTTTTTGTTAACTACACTCCTTTACGTTTTTTGGTTAAGTTGTTCCCTTGGGCAAGCGAATCAAGCTGAACGGCAAAGTAGTTGCTCTGAGGAGCAAACAAGTTGAGTGGTTACTCAAATACTTCGTGCCTTGCTTATGCCGCTCACTTGTGCAGGTGTGTAGGTGCGTGTATAGCCAGCGCCTTCAGCCAATGCGGCCTCAGTGTGCGCACTGCAAGTCATAGGGGTGCAAGTGGGACGCTTCCTCTCTTACCTGGTGCAGTGTCGGTGGCCGATGCACCATGTGGTTCTGTGTTTCTCTGCCCAAGAAAACGATTCCCACCAATTGGGATGAGAATATGGTTCTGAACAGCGATTGCGTTAGGATAACGAGACAGCCAAATAAGTTTGCCGTGTGGATTCGAACGTGCATTTCACGTAAATGCTATGCTTACCTTGTATGCGCGTCACTCGATAGAGGTGAAGAACGTAATGCTGAAAGCGTTCCAGGAAGGACAAACGGATGCAGGTCGTTTGCACACTGCAGATGCACTTGAAAACTTGTCGCAACTGGATACGAGTGTACGAGTCGACGGAACCGGTGGTGCAACAGGGGGAGTCCATCGCCGAGCACAAGAATAGAGCCACGACGACTCTGGTAGAGTGGGTTTCTGCGGAGCCTACTTTTACCCTTGAACTTCTTCATTTGCGGTTGAAGGCGGAGTTCGGAATTACAGTAAGTACCAGCACCATCTCACGATACTTGGATGGTAGAGTGATAACAATGAAGAAGCTGCACACCATTCTGGAGTCCATGGACACGCTGGAGAACAAAAAGCGACGCAGGTTGTTCGTTTTCCAGCTCATGGATTACGCGGTGGAAGAAAGGCAACCGGTGTGGATTGGTGTGACGAACTTCAACTTATTTTGCGCCCCCACTGGTGGCCGCTCACGACGTGGTAGTCCAGCGCAGTGTACAATGACGAACAGCCGGGGGACCGAATTTTCATCTTGTCGGCGCCATAACCAACAACGGATTGATAGCGTGTTCGGTTTGAGAGGAAGATACAACAAGCAAAGGTGCGCTCGGTGGCTGCGAAAAGTGCTTGATGCCAACGGAGCAGGGTTTGTGGTATGGTGCCTGTTGATCTGCGATAACGCGCCCTGTCACATGCACCTGGATCACCTTTTCCTGGAGGAACCGTTACCGCTCTGGGAGACTCTTACGCCTTGCACCATACGCTCCAACACTCAATCCCATCTGGGGCATAATAAACTCCCATGTGAAACAGACAATGCGGGGACTGTACTCCGATATGCTCCTGGGAGACCCTGAAGGCGTTCTAAGTAAAAGCGAGTGGTGGATTCGTTTTCTAGAACACACGGTTTCGGAACCACTGCCCTTAAGGATGTGGCAGCACTGCGAACAAATGGTTCAGCATATCAATAAGAATTATGGACTTGTTGCTCGTTTGGCCGATCTCTAAAACATTCCGCTGGCAGCAAACTACCTATTTTAGGTGGGTTTTGTTCTTGATTTATTCTGATGACGGGTCAGAGTGCACTGTATACGCTGCTACGAATAGCCAGTTCTCCATTCGGGCGAACATCATGGAGTTCCGTGCAAGTGGTGCGCTTGGTCGCTTCATATATTCGTTTTAGTTGCCCCGTTGTAAAACAAGCATTCGAGAGCTTGACAAATGGATGCGACTCTAACACGGTTGTGTGGCAAGCAGTTATGTTTTATCACCTGTCGTTGTTTGTGTTTGGTGAGCCACTGGATAAGGACTTTGACAAGGGCATAATAAATAAGGAAGTTTAACTATACAGACTTGACGGACATGGGTAGTGTGTGTCCGTTTGCCGGATTACTTAACGGGTTACACCAAGGCGGGCGGCTGGATGCTGCTTGATCTCGTGCAAGGATGGTCGATGCGGGAACCCAACGCAAGTGACGAATGGACAACTAACGTTTACCACGATCTGTAGGGAAATATTTCCGGATGCGTAGTTGTCAGTTGCGAACTGTATTCGAACACACCACTACGTTGTGGTGAGAAAATGCTTTGAAGCAACAGATAGGATGTCCTCACTTTGGCAAATCACATTTATTCGTCAGGTTGTGGTGCCTACACAGGGATGAATCATTCCGCGTGGCGCAAACCGGTCCGTGCGTTCATATGCCATTTCCCAAATCACCAACATACAAGCAAGTGGAAATTGTTATTTCCCTCCATCCCAATGCTATGCATGTAAATTACGTCGTTATGGCCCGACATAGACTACAATCATATTCATACGTGTTTTCGTCATCCATCCACACACTTCAGGCGAGACTTAATTTGGGTACACATCACAGATATGAATAGATCTGTGTCTGGGACATTGAAGACGCTCGGACTTTTGCGATTTGTTTAAACTTTGGTGCATGTTAGAGGCTGTACTATTACTTTAATAGTATGATAGATTTACGGCGGATAGCGATTAGGAAACGCCTTTATCTTGTATTGTGTCAGCCGCTCGAAAAGGAGACATGTTGCTTTCAGCATGATCAGCTCAGTCTGTACCTCCGATATTGTCCCAATCATCTCGGAAACAATGTGGGCTGTTTTGACACTATATTGCTTCGCACAGCTGGGTGAATTGATCTACTGGTACACTACTTGCTTCGATACGACGTGTTTGAATGACGAATTCCCGGTAGTATGGGGATTCTGAGAGCCATAAGAGCAGTATTCATTTCACTTGCGACAAAGTTGCTAAATTAAGCCAAGGTAACCGACACCCGCAAAGTTTTCGGTCAGTAGAAGATAGCAGCAACAATAGTAGGGAGATTGAACAGGTTCCTGGAATTTCCTTTATAGGATGCAGTAAGCCTCATGTACAGTTACGGTTGCCACGGTAACCGATGTGAGCGGGCACTACACAAAATGCGAAATGGACCACGTGTTAGCGGTAATTTTCATGTCCATACGCAATTGCTGGTAGTTACCTAATTGACACAAAGCGGACTGATTCAGGCCCTCCTCAAGAATGGTTGCCATGGGATTCCGTACACAGCAATTACATAAGCACGCTGTACTTGTTGAACGTGTTTTTGTAAACATGTGGTGTATTTGAGCCTAAGTAGTACGTAATCATTGCTTTTCACGGACTGGATCATCCTTACTCATCGCACCTTTCTCTTGATAATATAGTTGGTCAGGGAAGCCAAACTACACTGCATTAGCTGCACAACCTCAGTCCAACCCGTGGTAGTTGTGCGTACATGTTCTATGTTTCCACAGTATGGACAACACTCAATTCCATAACTACCTGTTATTGGACGACTCCAGATGCTTCGCCTACACGGGTGCAACATATTCGCTGCTACGAGCCCAGTTGTCCCCACAGCTCTCTGATACGCTTGACACTATGCAGCGAGCAGATATTTCGCATCCCGAATTGGCTACGTGATGAACGTCCGAGGCGATCTCTACATATGTCGCCGCAGTCTGTTTTTCAAACCAATGTTTAATATACGGCTTTATGCAGTTTCTACCCGAAATGCCAAAGAAGCAGCAGCAGCCTGCTGGTGCAAAGCATCCATCCGAATTGCAGCAGTAGACTGCTGCTGTTGCTGCTTTGGCATTTCGAACGACTTTAAAATGGGCTCCTGGGAGTAACTGCTGCACCGAACAGGCTCGAACTGGGTTAGGGAAGCGGATAAACAGCTGAAAGTATCTCGTGCCGGTGCGTTCGTCTTGCTCTTTTTGAAATGCATATTGCATTCCACATGACTCGAAAAGTCGTACCAGTTCATTAGGCTCTTTCGTTGGGTTGCTCCAGGTACACAACCAGCAGCGCGTTGATCAATTTTTGAAGAAGCTCAGATACCTACGAATAGATCATAGAGAAGTAATGATGTTCTTCGACGTCACCATCCTGTCCACCACTGTCAACTTAAAAGAGGGGAAAGAGCGCATTAGGGTTCTCCTGAACAGTGGCAAACAAACTATTGGGAATTTGACGACTGAAAGTGTTTGCAGGCTTTTCGACTTGTGCCTTACCACATACTTCAAATTTACTGAGTATTCTACGATCGAATAAAAGGAGATCCAATGGGATCCACCATCTTAAGACTTACTGCGGGGGTTATCATGCAGAGATTGGAAGAAAAGCTGCTCCCAATCACTAATCCGAAAATTTGGGTTCGATACTTTGCCGGTGTCTTTTTGATACTGACACTCAACCAGTTGCAGCTAGCACAAGATTGATTGCTCAATGCAATAGACCGCATTTATTTAACCAGATAGGACGATTTGGTTTCCAGCACACAGGACGGATGATTACAGACCCCGGTTTCCAGGAATAGCACGCACACCAACCAAATGTTGAAATGCAACAGCAATCATCCAAAATGTTGCAAGCTAACCGGCGTACGAACTCTATTTCGAAGGTTCGAATCACATTGCAATGCCATAGAAGTAAATGGAAGGAAGAGAAATATCTGTTTGCGTCCTTCAGACATAACGGATACCCAAGCATACTCGTCCGAAGCTACATCAGTCCCGGAACTATCAATACCACAACTGCAGATACAACGACGAGATGGATTGCTTTGCCTTATGCGAAGGTCTCAGAACTGGGTGATGGACTCCTAAAACCATACTACCTAATGATTGCTCACAGACTGTAAAGAACTTTGTCAAAATCAAGAAGCAAAGTAGAAGCAAATGAGCAGCGCAATACTATATACAGGATTCCGTGCCAAAACTCTGAGAACAGTGTAGGCCAAACAGGACGGAAAATGACTACGAGAATACAGAAGGACAAATGTGCCTTCAGAAACCTTAAGTATCATCTTTGCTTCCGATGCACCTCGATGAAGAATGGTACAA